AGTCCCATACACAGACATATACTATCTTGTGGGTTCACAGCATCTGCTGCAACATGCCAGCTGTTCTTCGCCCTTTTGGGCAGATGGCAAAAGAAGGATTTGGGGTGACATGGGGGTATAATGCATCTGAGGAACATGACCAAAGTATCCTCTGTCTTTATTGTCAGACAGATCCTAAGGCTTAAACTCCAGTATTTGACTTAGTCACTAAAAGGGACCTGTGTCTATGCTCTGGCCATTATTGGAAAAACAGATGTTAGTATCTGGGCACTAGAACATCTTGAGCCCTCTCACTGGGCCAGAGAGTATCTTGTCTTTCTCAGATAAGTAGTTCTGGCTCAGGGTTGTCATTTATAAACGCTGAGCAACTCACATCACCCACCATTCTTCATCTACTTATGTTGGTGGACTGGGCCGCATTATGGGAGGCCTACCTTCCATCAGAATAACAGATGGCAGGTGGGATGGTAGCGTGGGGCAGAAGGGGTGGGGTGTCAGGGTGGGATATTAGGGTGGGGTATCAGGGTAGGGTGGCAGGGTGGGATATTAGGGTGGGGTATCAGGGTAGGGTGGCAGACCTACCCTGATAAGGTCTGGATAAGGATTATTGGTAAGGATTATTAGTTCTATTTATATGAATAAAACTTAACATGGTCCTACAATTTCCTCAAAGGGCTTCCTGCCTATGTAAAGGGCTGACCTTACAACCAGGAAGTCAGGATCAATGGGAGGCCCAGATGGCTTGCATGGCTAGTCAGAGAGGAATTGCTGAAGAGAGGGTAAGCTTAATTCTTACTGAGTGACTAACATGTGGGCTACAGCAGGGTTTTCTCACCCTAAACCCTGCTACATTCTTCCCTGCTGTTGAGGCTAATACTGTTTTCTCTTAAGCCAGCTGACCATGACATTTGATCTGTGTTAACCACAAGAATCTTTTTCCTTTTTTTTTTTTTTTTTTGAGATAGGATGTCACTCTATAGCTTAAGTTGTCTTTGAACTCATGACTCTCTTTCCTGATCTATTTGAGTGCTGCAACAGAGGCATGTACTATCAGTTCAACATAGGAATCATTTTTTTTTTTTTAAGATTTGTCTTTATTAGGCTAGGTGTGGTGGCATATGCCTTTCATCCCAGCACTATGGAAGGAAGAAGCTGGTGAATCTTTGTGAGTTCAAGGCCGGCCTGTACTATACAGCTAGTTCTAAGCCAGTTGGAGCCACATAGTGAGATCTTTACTCAAAAAAAAATGTTTTTAATTATTATTTGCATATGTGTGTGATGGGGGGAAGAAGAGGGAAGGGAGGGAGAAAGGAAGGGATAGGGGTACACATGTATGTGGGTGCCAGCAGGGGTCAGAAGAAAGTGTCAGATCTTTTGGAGCTAGAGTTATAGGCAGCTGGGAGCTGCCCAATGTGGGTGCTGGGTACTGAACCCCAGTCCTCTGCAAGAGTAGCAAGTGTTCTTAACACAGCCATTTCTCTAGCTCCCTCCTATTTTAATTCTTGTAATTCAAATCTCGCTGCTAGATCTAGAGTTCTGTCCTCCCAGAATGGTATTCCTTCTTTGTGTTTCTTTCCACTTTCTCTATGGAAAAAAATTTAAAAATCAGGTCTCAGGTGGGACCTTCAACCATGATGGGGTATAGGATTTAGTTATGGCCAATCACAGTGTGCCATTTTCTGGCCAAAGTGATAGCTTTAGCAAGTCATGTGATCCAAGAAAGATCAATGCAAAAATCTTCCCTAGGTCATTTCAGCTGAGTTCAATTGAAAAATTACTTAAAAAAATTGTTGAAGTCTGGGTATACAACTTAGTGACGCTCAGCACATATATGAAGTCTGGGTATATAATCTCTATCAGCACATGTATGAAGAGTGGGTATATAACCTAGTGGTGCCCAGCACATGTATGAAGTGTGGGTATATAACCTAGTGATACTCAGAACATGTATGAAGCCTGGGTATATAACTTAGTGATGCACAGCATATGCATGAAGGTCTGGGTTTAATCCCTAGCACCACAAAAACAAACCTGTATAAAATAAGTAATTTGACATCTAGGAAGTAGTAAAGACAATGCAGGAACATCCAGCTCCCCATGTATCCACTGATGGCAATCTTGGAAAGGTTAAGCTACCATTTCACATTGGATGCTGATAGCAGATTATCATGTTTGTGGGTAGAGTGAGTCTGATTTAAAAATAAACTCACACAGAATTATGGCAGAGCCCTGAGAATACTATTCTAGCCCCTTACTCCAGCTGAGCCAAAAGCTATGGCCATCTCTGGATTTTCTTTTCATTGGAGCCAGATTTAGGTGGTCTTCTACATCTTTCAGGAAAGTTGTATTTGAAAAACAAAAACTCCAGCCTGGTCTACAGAGCTAGTTCCAGGACAGCCAAGGCTACACAAAGAAACCATTTCTCAAAAACAAAACAAAACAGAACAAACAAAAAACAAACAAAAACAAAGAAGAAAATTAACCCCCCCCCAACCCAAAAACTTTATGAAAAACATTTAAGAGAAAAAAGAAAAAGGGGAGTTCCAGATATATGAAAACCATTTCTGGCCCATTTTGTTAGCCTCCTGCTAGGAATTTAAAGTAAATAACATACAAACCATTAAGAGATGCAACAGAGCTGGGCAGTGGTGGCATATGCATGCCTTTAATCCCAGCACTCGGGAGGCAGAGCAGGCAGATCTCTGTGAGTTCGAGACCAGCCTGGTCTACAAGAGCTGGTTCCAGGACAGCCTCCAAAGCCACAGAGAAACCCTGTCTCAAAAAACCAAAGGGGGGGGGGAAAAAAAGAGATGCAACAGAGGTAAGTATTTCCAAATCTAAACCTATCTGATAAACAAAATGATCATGATCCAGACAGGCACTGTATCGCTGGCTCAGCTATTTTCAAGCAAAGGATGAATGAAGACAGTCTTTCCTTGTTGGTATTTGTGCACACTGACACTGGAATGCAATGAACTGTTCTCAAGATTCTTTTTCCTCCACCATCCGATTTGATAGAACAATATTTACCAGTTTGCTTCTCTAATTCTTGCTTGATATCTTCAAACACTTGGGAAAGGAGGTCCTCTTCAGATCTTGTTCCATCTAGGTAAACTAAGAAGTGAGAAATAGCAGTTCAAATATGCTGCAGAATTATCCTGCTATACATTGTGAAACTGTGTTGCTCTTGTTAATAAAAAGCTGATTGGCTGGTGGCTAGGCAGGATTTTTGAGACAGACAGGATGCTAGGAAGAGGAGGGGTGGAGTCCGAGGAGTGGCCAGCCAGACAGAAAAAGCAATATGGCAAGTTCAAAGGTGAGGTAAAAGCCACGAGTTTCGGGGTAGCACATAGAAGAATAGAAATGGGTTAACTTAAGCTGTAAGAGTTAGTTAGTAATAAGCCCGATCTATTGGCTGAGCATATATAATTAATATTAAGTCTCTGTATCCATTATTTGGGAATGGGGTCAGGGGGCAGGAAAGAAAAGTCCAGCTTATTAGTAAAGGATGCTTCGGCATTTCTTTAAAAGACCAATAGCTTTCACCAAAGAACCTAGAACTATGACCTAAGGAAGAAGGGAGGGAGGGAAAGAATGAAAAGAGAAAGAGAGAGAGGATAAGCATTGTCCATATGGCATGCACCGTGTACCTATTTCTTCTGCATTGGGACACTCCCTCCTAGAGGGAGGAAGGAGGCTCATCACACTCCAAAGTAAATGAACTAATTGGCTCATTGAGCTCCTGAGAGTTAGATTTAAAAGGCCCCTTCCAAAGGTTAAATCAGCAGAAACCAACTGCCAGAGACAGAGGACTCTCCCATGCCCAGAGCAGCCAGAAGGTTGTACAGGCAGCTCGCTTTGAGGAGGTGTTGTCATGGTGACATGCAATTGTCTTTGAGTCACCATGCTTCTTTAAGTAATCCCAATAAACTCACTAGCTCACTGAGCTGGACGTGGGTAGTTTCTCTGGTTTGTTCTTGGTGCCTGACTGACACATAATACATATCAGGAGACTGCAGGGGTGCCTGGCCCAAAGAGGAGCAATTTGAAATGCATGTCCAACTGGGATCATCTGTGAAGCTTTTAAACTATGTGTCAGTCTGGACTTTACGACATACTATAGAAGTCAGAAGTTACGTATTTTCAATAAAGCAGGCATGAACACTTTTGTAGAAAAAGAAGTTAACCTGGGTTAAAGAAAAAAAGGACCCTGGAGTCGTAAAACAGCAAGGATGAGGAAGTCTGAAGAGAGTTGCCTGCTAGGAAGTGTGAGTGGTGGAGGAAGGAACAGAACAGCACAGGAGATGAAATTTTGGAGAAAGGGTGTGCCTTGGTGTCTTTATTGATTTTATCTCAAAGAACCGGAAGCCATGGACAGGCTGCATTTAAACGGGGTGTCCTATATATTTTTTTTTTTCTGGTGTTGTGATAAAACACTCTAACTAAAAGTAACTTGGGGAAGAAAGGGTTTATTTGGCATACACTTTGAGATCACAGTTCACTGAGGGAAGTCAGGACAGGGACTCAAGGTGAGAGCCTGTCACACGAACCATGGAAGATGCTGCTTACTGGCTTGCTCTCTGGATCACTCAGCTAGCTTTCCCATACAGCCCAGGCCCAACTTCGTATGGTGGCACTGCTCACAATGAATGGGGCCCTCTCACATCAATCATTAGACAGGCTTGCCAGTCTGTCACAGAGATGGCCACAGGCTGATCTAATCTAGGTGATTCCTCAACTGAGACTCCCTCAGATGACTCCAGGCTGTGAGAATTTGACAGCTGACATTAACTAGGCCAAAGAACAAGGACAAAGTTAGACTTGGACTTTAGATGGAGGGAACAAAGGGTGTAAGAGGATGTTTCTCCTGTACGGCACAGAAGCTGCTGGGACAGCACAACCCAACAACAACTCTGACATGGACTCTGTGCCCTTCTGCACAGATCTGAGTCCTTCCCTGGAGCCAACAAGTTCCATCCTATAGGAATGAGTCTCCTTGGCTCTGAAAAGTATGCCAGTCTGATTCTTCTCTCTTGTCCAACAGACTCATGCCACCGCTCCCCCTCCCCACCCCACGTGAGCACTGTACAAACACTCCAGTGACAGTCTCTTAGCTCGAGGCCCAAGTATTCATATTGCCTCCAAATTGGCACATTGTCTCTCAGGTACCTGAATCTTATTTCCTGCAAAACACATGTGTAGTCCTTCCTTACATATCTACAACTCCTTCATGTCTCAAATATCACCGGCTAGTTCCTTAGACACTTTTATGCCCCAGTTCTACTGAGTACTTGTGTTCAAAACTGAGAGAAACCCTGTCTCGAAAACCAAAAAAAAAAAAAAAAAGAAAAGAAAAGAAAAGAAAAGAAAATGTATCAATCATGACTGTGTTTAGAGGCTGTCTGTAGAGAGCTTCCCGATTCTCCTAGGACATTCCCTTAGCATTAGAGGGCCTGGCCCTTGGCAGCAGCAACAGCACATCCTCCCTCTGCTTTTCTCTTCTAAAACAAAATGGCCTCTTTTAGGTATTGCTTATGCCTTCCTGTCCCTAGGTCTTTTCTCTGTTCTTCCCATGGTCTGGATGACAGTCATTCCCCCACCCCAAGGCGAGCTAAACTCATATGAGTTTAGTGATAGACAGCTTTCTCAGGGACCTTGAGGTAGGCAGTCTCCCTGGTACTTAATATCTGTGCTTACCTGGAGAAAAGACTTGTTTGTAATGCACACACTTATAATGTGTTTCCTGGTGAAACCTCAGCTGGGTAAGAGTAGAGACTGGATCTGCCTCCGTCACCTTCAACCACCATAGGCAACATCAGGCAAGGGTGGTTCAATGAAAGACCAAATGGAATCTGGCAAGAGGTACAAGAACCACCAGGAGAAAAAGAAACCAGCAAGGACCAGTTGTAGGAGAGGGGAACCCAGAGATTGCCTGAGCATATCTTTAAGAACTCCTTGAGAGAAAATATTTTCCAAGTAATCCTTTCTGTGCTTTGACATAAATGAGAAGTAAAAGGCCTTAAGAGAAATGGGGAAGGTACTTACCAATATTCCAAGTGATGGTGTTCATTTCTTGTCTGTGCTTTAGGTACATGGGCCACACATGGCCATCAAAGTACCCTGGAGGGTCAGGAGGCTCATATACCCTTGTACTAGAAAAACATGCAGGAAACTTGATGTTCATACAAAATTATGATTGACAAGGCTCATATACCCTTGTACTAGAAAAACATGCAGGAAACTTGATGTTCACACAAAATTATGATTGACAAAGTAAATGAATCATGGTCAAGATAATGTGAAAATCATTCATGTTAACTCTAAAGAGGAACTCAGACTATTTTTTTTTAATTCAGTTGTACTAAGAAAGGTAGCAAAATGGATTTGGTTCTCTAATTTAAACAATAACCCCGTAACTCATTAATGTTCATAATTATCTCTTCTCAGTCTCCTGTGTTTTAGAAAAGAATTATGGAACACGTACAAGAAAAAATAAGGAGTGAAATATGGACAGACTGACTTCCTCTCCTATCTAGCTGGTGGTCTCTGCAGCGACAGCAGAGCATAGGCATGAGGGTGAGGAGGAAGGTGCCTGACAGGATGTCACCAGCCCTTCTTAGAGAAGTTACTGTACACTACTCCAGGTGATGAGCACTTTTAGAAAAACGTTTGACTTATGAGTTAAGGCTTGTTCAATAATGTCACTTTTCTTGTTTTCCCTGTATTTCATCTTTTGGATACCAACGCACAAAGATGGTTTTGAAACGTACCTCCGCCTCCTCTTACATTCTTCATATGGAATGGTCAGGAAGTAACTTCTGTTCCATATGGTGTCCAGTGGCCTAAGATAACAACACACTTGGTTCACAAGGCTCTCTCTCCCCTACCCCTGCATTCCTTCAGGTTGGTATTAGAGTGGGAAGGCTTACTTATAATTAAAGAGAAGGAAACCTTCAATAATTAAAATGGGAACCCTTTGAGAACTTTCCAAAGCTGCTGGTCCTGCAGAGTGCCCTGGGTTTTCCATCCAACATGAAATGGCTGACATCATTTCTTCCATGTTAAGAGCTTCAAGCACTGAAACAAACATAAGACACATGAAACTAATATAGCAAACATTTTTTAGGTGGTCAGCTTTTTTGTGATAAGTATCTCCAGAGCTCTGTAAATGTATGACATAACAGCATTTCACTTATCTTTCAAGGTACCTAATAATAGATACTTCTTTTGAGATAGGGTTTTTCTGTGTAGCTTTGGAGCCTGTCCTAGAACTTGCTCTGTAGACCAGGCTGGCCTCACACTCACAAAGATCCTCCTGCCTCTGCCTCTGCCTCCCAAAGGCATGTGCCACCAATACCTGGCTCTAATAATACTTTAAACACCCAATTAAAACACTAATAGAGATATATTTGAGTGGTATATCCAAGACATTTTTATTATGGAAAAAACAAAGATGTACAAATGTAAAATACAATGAATAACATGACACTATTTCCAGCTGTTAATTTTTTTATATTGATGTACTTATTGTGTATGTGGGGGGGGGGTCAGAGGACAAGTTGAGGGATTCAGTTTTGTCCTTCCACCACAGGGATCTTAGGGATGGAACTCAGGTTGTCAGGCTTGGTGGCAACCTGACCCCAGCCTTGACTACTATAAATTCATGGCTGACTATCCCATCAATTCTTTCCTGATACGGAAAAACTAAAAAATTATGGTACTGGAGACTAAATCCAGGATTTTGTGTGGATTAGGTAAGCACTCAACTCCTGAACTATATGTCCCAAGCAAGATCTTTAAAAATAAAACTTAAATTAGGGCTGGAGAGATGGCTTTGTGGTTAAGAGTACCCAATGTTCTTTGAGAGGACACATGGTCAATTCCCAGCACTTACATGGTGGTTCACAGCTGCCTGTAATTCAATTTATGGAAGAAAAAAAAAACTATAGATACATTGGAAGGATAAATAACATATCATAATCTATTTGGAAAGTAGCCATATTAACAGTAAAGGATCTCTAATGCACGAAAGGCTCTTTTTTATGTTTATGGGTGTTTTGCCTGCTTGTAAGACTGTGCATGTGTGTTCAGTGCCCACAGATGCCGGAGGAGAGCATCGGATCCCCCAGAGACTGAAGGTGGATACAGTTTTAAGCTGCCATGTAGGTGCTGGGAATTGAACCCATCTGCTAGAAGGACAATCTGTGGCTAATCACCGAGCCTACATCTCTCTAGTTCTACATGAAAACCTTTTTAAAGTTATAGGATACAAATGTCATTTCAAACCCTGAAATGTGCAACTTCAAGAGCTAAAGAGTATGACTCTGGAGAAGCAGAACAGAGTATTCCTCATGCACGGTCTTCAGACCATCCCAGCAACTTGTCAGACACAGAAATTCTCAGCCTCATTCCTGGACCACTAACCACACCACATGCTCTCACAAGTGTTTCCACCGTAAAGTTTGAAGTGTGGGCTAATTAAGTTAATGGAGATAAGACTATTGAGATTTTCTTATGGTTATGCTGCTGGTTTGGCTAAGTGCCACTTTTTCCAGGAAAGTGCCAGTTTCATCAAAGTTTACAAATAAGTCTCATAAGAATATCCATGAATTAGGTAAGCACACATGTGCACAGACATACACGCAGGCGAATTATTTCTTGATCCATTTTGTTTAACTTCTGAGGGGGTCACTCAGATTCTTCAAACAGGTGTACATCTCCTCTCAATATGAAGTCCTCACCATATGTCTCCGAGTCCTTGTTCTTCTTTCTGAAACCCTACAGGTTAGGTCTTTTGCATCTTCAAGTTACAGATCTTCTCCTGTCATGTTTATTTTTCTAGTGACTACTGAGAGAGCTGTAAGATTTTGGGTTATTACACTTTTTTTTGTTTTTGGTTTTCAGTTGACAAATTTTTTCCTGGCTTTTTTTTTTTTTTCACATTTCTATTTCTTTCTTGGGGCATTAAACGTTTCTCCTGTTTCAAGCTTATCTGCAGTTGCTGGCTGAACTCTTTTTTTTTTTTTTTTTCAAAGCCACTTTAAAATGTTTGTCAGACAATTTTTACGACAGTGTGGTCACAGAACTGATGTATATTGGCCATTATTTTTTCTAATTCAAGTTGAGACTGTCTTGCCTCTTTCACTGACATATGCCTTTCAGGTGTGTCCTCATGATCTGGGGTGTTGCTGTGATTTCATCTTCTTGTTTTGCAGCCAGTCACTCTGAAGTGTCCCCAGGTTCACAGGGGCATGTGTGTTCAGTGTCCTTATGATACTGGGTGGGTGGGAGGGGGGTCATAGAGGGAAAAGAGCATCATGGCTGCTGCACGAGGGCAGAAGCTCAGTGTTCCACTGTCTCCTGATGGCAGTAGCTGACATGGCCTGAGGGCCAGCCTACCCTGTCTCATTCTGACTCTGCTGCCCAGTTTGGAAGTTTGGCTCATTGTTTGGCTCTGTGAAATCTCCTGTGGGTGATGTAGAGGCCAAAAGTCCCTCCACATTGTTGGTGGTACGTGAAGGTCTTGGGGTGTAGCCTTCCACTGGTTATGACAGGGGAGTAAGACTTTCCTTTTGTGCCTAGCTAAAATGGGACCAAAGGACACTGTATTCCAGTAGCTACCATTGTTCTGGTCCTTTGGTTGTAGGTTTCTTGGTGCTTTTTTTGTTTGTTTGTTTGTTTTGTTTTTTGAGACAGGGTTTCTCTGTGGCTTTGGTGGCTGTCCTGGAACTAGCTCTTGTAGACCAGGCTGGTCTCGAACTCACAGAGATCCATCTGCCTCTCCTCCTGAGTGCTGGGATTAAAGGCATGCACCACCACCACCCAGCTCTTGGAGCTTTTTATGTCCATTGATGGTTCATGTTGCATACATTTCCAACAATCCAGGTGGTTTATGGGAGAAATAAAGAAAACACAGTGTCCCAGTTAGGGTTTCTATCGCTTGAAGAGACACCATGACCACAGCAACTCTTATAAAGGAAAAAAATTAATTGAGGTGGCAGCTTACAATTTCAGAGTTTTTGTCCATTATCATCATGGTAGGACACAGTGGTGTATACTGGCAGACATTGTGCTGGAGAGATAACTAAGTGTCCTATCTTGGCTTGCAGGGAATAGGAAGTGGTCTGATTATCACACTGAGGGAAGCTTGAGCAAAAGAGATCTCAAAGCCCACCCCAGTAGTGACACACTTCCTCCAAGATCACACCTACTCCAACAAGGCTACACCTCCTAATAGTGCCACTCCCTTTGGGGGTCATTTTCTTTCAGATCACCACACACACACAGGGAATCATACCCATGTGATCCCTTGAGTCACAAAGTCCTCAGCCAGCATGCTGTCTTCTTTCAGTCTTCCCTTCTTTGTTATATTGTATCACAGGTTCTGGCTAAATGAATGAGGCCCAGTGACAAGGGGACAGGGAGTTAAAACATTTTCTATGTTTCCTAGTGATTTATTTTTCAGTCCATGGAATCCATGTGTCTTGCTTCACACAAGATTTGATAATATTTAGGATTTGCTTCAAAAAATGTAGATGGAAAAGAAAAGTGGGTGAGAGTGGAGATGAAACATAACCGCCAAAGGGCTCATTATGAATAAAGCTGGTGATAAACTCATGACCATTTATTACAGTTTTCTGTCTACTTTTGTCCATGCTTGAAACTGTCCATAGGAAAAGTAATTTTAAGTAACTTAAAAGTACTATCCTTGCCTACTTACTCTCTATTTATAGAACTGAAATGTCATTTGCTATGACTAGAGCATCCTTATGCTCTTATTCACGTCTATGTTGGGAACCTGTTCTATGCACCCACTTGTTCAAGTTGCTTAAATATTATACAGTTAGTAAATTTTTTTCCCAGCTAGTTCTACTAGCTAAGAAGTGTACCCCCCTTGCAAATTCACATATTGAGGTCTCATGCCAAGTATGCTGGATTATTATCCTACCTGGAAGTACATTAACAAAGTACACAATTAGTTAAGCGGCAGGGCAGGGACCTCCTGCGACATGATTATGTCACTATAAAAGGTGGAGATTAAGGTACACATGCAGATGGGGCGATGGCATGTGAAGTGAAAGGAAAGATGGGGGTAATGAAGCCAAGGCCAGGGTGTGGCCCAGAATCGACTGTCTCTCGCAGCCTTCAACAGCAACCCTGACTACACCTTCACCACAGATCCAGCTTCCAGACCCATGGGGCAGAACCCTTCTGTGGTGTAAGCCATCCAGTATGTTATAGATTTGTTAACTCTCTTTTATAAACTGCCATTTTAGTGTTTACAAAGATGGTGAGCCTACTTGGACTCACTTTACATTGCAACACTTACCTGGAAAGTTTGATTTTTTTCCCCCTAAAGATAGACTCTTAGGTGTAGGATATATGAACTTGTGGTAGGAACACTTCAAGGCATTTGAGCGACCTTATCTGAGTTACTTTGTAGTTCCTTGTGATGTGCACGAGGGTGATTGCTTTGTTGTGAGCATGCCATTAGGTCATTATCCCTCTATTACAATTCTTTGTCTACTTCAGAACTGGAGGAAGGGTGACTGCAATTATTTGATGACCCCCTGCTTTTTGGAAGGCTTATTCACATTCTTCTAGCATTTTTCCTACTGAACTATTACCTTCTTATTAGCTAGTTTATGAGAACGACCCAGTGAATGGGAACAGTAATGCTTTGTCACTTCTGAAATCGGTTTTTCATTTTCTCTTTATAGAATGTTTCCTAAGTTTTGGAAGAAAGGCAGAGAAGAAACAATGTATCAAGACTGAAACTTGGCAGAGAACAGCAAAGAAAGGACTTGGTCTAAAAGTTACTGTGTGTCTGTAAGAACTGCTACATAACACTGAATCCTCAGACCCTCAAAGGTTAAGATAAAGAACAGGACAATTTAGGAGAGGCCCTTGTATACATACTAAAGATAGCCTGTTAATTAGAAAAGACAGTAAGAACACAAACTCTATTATGCTAGTCTCTACAGGAACAGAAATGCTTTTTGGCTGACTTTGATTCTTTGGCTTCCAAACAGTGTCAGCCTGGGTCAAGAGAATGAAGTGAATATAAAAAAAAAAACTCTAAGATTTTCTAAGTAGCAATAAAAATAAATGCGCTTCCTGGTGCTTTGCTACCCGGAAGGGGATGCTCAACACATGAAAGTTTAGTCTGATGTAGATGAAATATTCTGGTTGGTGAGGGTCAAAGTAGGAAGCACGGCTAGTCACATTGCCAGAGTCTGGGATCGGCAGAAGGATGGCAAACCTAACCCGTCCTAGCTTCTGGGGAAAACCCTACCATTCCAGTTTGGGGTTTGAAATATAAATCTCTGGGAAAGTTTCTATTTACTTAAATAACTGAACAGAGATTTAAAAAAGAAAAAAACCTACAAAGGTAGGCTTAAAGTACAGCAATATTTAAATATTTAAAACTAACTATTCTCGTGTGTGTGTGTGTGTGTGTGTAAATGAGAGAGAGAGAGAGAGAGAGAGAGTGAGAGAGAGAGAGAGAGATGTATTGGGGGAGTGCTGCATGCCATAGCACACTCGTGGAGACCAGAGGACATGGAGGCAGTTCTCTCCTCCCACCTTTACAAAGATTCAAGGGAATCAAACTCAGATCTTCGGGCATGTGTGACAAGTGCCTCAACCCAGGGATCCTTTTTGTCCTCCCTATTTAAACGTTTAACATTTTGTTAATAGAGACAGATGTTGTTTGGAAAAGAAAATGAATATAGTCATAATATTTTACAAGTGACTCTACTTACCATCATACTGCAAAAATCCATTTTCATCTATGTCTATTTCAGACTCCGGCTGTAAAAACAAAACAGAGTGGAGGGCAGAAATGATGCAATTACTCAATTAAAAAGATACGCCTTTAATTAATGCTTTGGATAATGTAAGAACAAGAGCAAAGACGGTCACTGACAGATGGTGCCACCTACTGGGCAGGTAACACTATTGCACCAAGTTTATCCTCAGCCAAAGCTTTAGGATATAATTTAATTAACTTGGTTATTAAATCTTTTTGTGTTAGATAAATCACCTAAGAAGCTTGATACATACCTTGAAGAAATCATCCTGAGATATTATGCTGCAATTGGGAAGTTGTTTCTGCAAGTTCTTAGCCAGAGTTGTCTTCCCACCATTTGTCACACTGAGCCAAGAAAACAAAACAAAACAGAAGATTCAAGAAGACATTGGGGAACATGGAACATTCTTCAACAATATATTTTTTAAAGGATATTTAAAACTATTCACTGCTTGAGATAAAAATTCTCATTTCACAGATAGTGTTTTGTCTTGCAGGCAGAATCACAGGTTTGAAAGATAAGCTGTCCTAATAGTAAGAGACAAGTGACGGATGGAGAGAGGCAAGTGACAGTCGGATAAGTGAACTGGACACTAACACTTCAAAACACAGACACCATGCAGGAAGCAAAACAATGCTTTGACTATCTAAACAGCTCCATGTTCGAAACACACCCCAGAGAATATCCTTGGCACACCTTGCTGCAAGTTTATAGAACTGTCCATTGTCATAGTGAGTGTTTCAACCACACAGGGAAAAAAGAGGAGTGGCTTATAAGAAGCCCGTCCACGCATGAGCCCACATTTCCTGTGGCAGGCCTCTGTCCCCTCTCTCTGTAGCTGGGGCCCATGTAGAGGTCCAGGGTTACTTCTTTCAGGTAGGTTATTTGTTCCTTCTGGTTGCACCTTGACATCTGGAGGCATAGGTCCCCATCTAACTTGTGTGTCCTGTTTCTTTCTATACTGCATGAGAGGGGCATTTCTCTAGCCAACCTTTCTTTCCTTTTTGGGTTTTTCTTTTAAAACAGGTGTTGCTCTGCAGTCCATATTGACCCCCTAACTGGGTAGTTCAGGCTGCACCGGAATTTACTGGGAACTTTTTGCTCTGTCCTCCTGAGTGTTGGGATTACAGGTATTAGCCACATGCCTGGCTTTTTCTATTTTTTTTTTTTTTTTTTTGCAGAGAGGTGATTAGCTCAGTCACATCCAAAGGGTCCATGAAAGAATTCAGGGTCATTGTGAATTTGAAAGGAAAGAAATTACACCATTTACACTAACTAAATTCTAACAGGTAATTAGCAGCTCCTTTTATTATAAGTAGTAAATTACAGTAGTAATGATGCCTTCGACTTGGACATCTATAAGAACTGCACCCCTTTTCACTCTGAGACGCAGGAGAGCAGGTATCTTGAAGAATCACAGGTTCTCACTATTGTTTCAAGCTTACAGAAGCTGTTTATTAGACTAGCAATGAACTATCAAGAGGTCACAGATTTGTTTACAAATATATATATTTTTTCGAGACAGGGTTTCTCTGTGTAGCTTTAGAGCCTATCCTGGCACTCGCTCTGGAGACCAGGCTGCCCTTGAACTCACAGAGATACGCCTGCCTCTGCCTCCCGAGTGCTGGGATTAAAGGCGTGTGCCACCAATGCCCCACTTTTTTACAAATATTTTATACCTGTACTTTAATACAATTGACTTTCTTTGTATTCCTGTTTTTCATTTTGTGCATTTAAATTCACTCAGAAAAGAGGCCAAGATTTCACCACACCCCAAATGTTCACAGTACAAAGCTCCTGACTGGACATCTGTTGGCAAGAACCCATGATTAGTTCTGGGTGAGAGCAACCAGATCATGTTTATAATCTAAAGAAAGAAACACGTTCATCAAAAGTACTTGTTGTGAGGCTGGGCATGGGTGGTGTGTGCCTTTAATTCTAATGCTCAGGAGCCAGGGCAGGTGGGTCTCTTGTGAGTTCAAGCCCACCCTAGTCTACAAAGTGAGTTCCAGGCCAGCAGGGGTTACATAGTGAGACCCTGTCTACATTTAAAACAAAAAAGCAAAAACAACCCCAAACCACCAAAAAAGACCCAATTCCACAAAAGAACATGAGCAACAAAACCCAAACAAAATGCTTATTGGATATAAATCATGTAATCATTATCACGTAATGCAATTGTAAATATGTAAATACCTTACATTGTATCATTATCATGTAATATAATGTAAACATGTAAACACTTTATCAAGTAAATACCTTATACCTGCAAAGTAGAAGATATTAATAATAATGTCCATTTTACCTTACAATGCACAGGTAGGTAGGGTATGGGGCTGTTACTCTATATACTGAGAACACTGATATGACCTTTTCTTTTTTTTAACAAAAAATGTCTATAAACCATACTGCAAGTCCATATTCAAGATACCAAGCTTTTGTTTAAAAGGAGGAATCTACTATGATCTGAGCAATCTGGTCAGAAAATGTGTCATTTCTTACACTTTCTCTTTAAGATCGGATAATTAAATCACCAACAAACAGACCCCTTCCCACTGATTCAGCTGCAGCCACAGAGAAGACAGCACTTTGCTTAGGAGTCCTGCAGGGAATGGACCAGCTGGGAACGAGTTTCATCATCGAACACGGAGCCTGTAATCCACATTTGGAATGTGGCCATCCCAGGTGACACCTCAGGACCTATTCCTTCCCCTTCAGCAAGCTCAGAACCTCCTTTACACAAGCTCTCCCCACCCCAGGGAAGAGATCCAGACCCCACCCCAGGGAAGAGCTCCAGTGGCTGCTTGATGCCATTCCTTTTCTTGTTTACAAATAAATGGATAGCTTCTCTTGTAAATAGGAGGGTGCAGAAGTACAGGCGGAAGCTGAAAACAGTGTTTATAATCAAACAAGATGACAACACTTCCATAACAAGGTGCTACTAATACTCCATATTCCAGCTGAGGAAAGAAGCAGGGCTTAGGAAGCTGCTTACCGCTGGAGTGGGAAGCCAAGTTTAACGACAGCATGGCTGTCTCATCATGTGTAGTCCTCCCCCTCCCCCCACCCCTTACCCCCACCCCAGATTGAACTGGTAGATGTGGTAAGAAAGTTAGAAGATTATAATTAGGGCATGATGACCTACTATGGGAGAGTGGCAGGGAGTGTGAAACGAAGCGGAGGACAAGAGTACCACAGCTTTGGTTCTGAGCAGACAGGAGCCACAACAAAGCGCAGTCTGATGTCCAGCTCACTCTTAATTTGCTTTGTTGTTGTTTTTTCCTGTATCTGATGCTGGGGTTAGAACCTAGGACCTCACACATGCAGGCAAATGCTCTGCTACCAACTACACCCAGTGCCATCCGACTCCTAGGATTGATTCCTTCGTGATGTAATATAATAACACAGCAGATTTCCTCCCTCAAATTACATTTGTAATATCTCAATTGATATTACAGAATGACAGACACAACCCGGGAGCAGGACAAATAATATCTTCCCAGTGGCCGTTGATGTCACATTTGCACATCAGCCTCTGGTGCCACAGGTCAGATGACCACGCAATTTAGAATACTTGGGATTCGTGGTTAATATCACACCGGGGCAACACAAGCTAGCCTAGCCAAATAGTACACCTGGTTGCCCTAAAGGTGGGGGAAGAGGACTGGAGGAAAGGAAACCTGTTATACTCCCAGGTCAAAAGCTGGGCATAAAAAAAGAAGGGAGTGTTATATTTAACAATCACTCTCAACCTCATGTCCAGCGTCAGCTCCAGTAAACAAATGGAAATGTTGGTAACACTGATGGCCCTGTGTGGGGGGGGGGGGGGTGGGGGGGGGGGGGGGGGGGGGGGGGGGGGGCCCCCCCGGCCCCCTCCCACTGATGGTCATGCAGCAGCCTGGGACTCAGAAGTCCCCACAGCTTTCTCCACCATGTTCACATGAGACACCATCTGGACATCTCCAGTGTCTTGCCAGCTGTTTATGGAGGAACTACTCACCCGCCAATTCCAATGACAAATGTTTTCATAATTGGCCTTGGAAATCACGTCTTCTTAATATTTTCTAAAATATAAATACATATAAAATAAAATCAGAGTTAGTCTTGAAAAGCAATAACAACCGAGAGGGGATCAATGGCCTCAACCCCATATTCCCCACTGTCTGGCTTCCTGTTGCCAATGGTTGGGGTTTTCTCAGGGCCTGTTAACTAATGTCACGATTGTGTGACCTATTTCCCTGGGTTACCTTATGATAACTATTCTTAGTTGTCAACTTGACTACATCTAGAATGAACAAAAACCCAAGCAGCTAGGCACACCTGTGAGGGATTTTTTTCTCTTACTTAAGTCATTTGAAGTAGAAAGACCCACTTTTAATCCAGATATTCTGAGTGGGAAGATACAGCTTCTGCAGGCAGCCTATATAAGGGTCATGGAAGAAAGAAGGGTGCTTGCCGGGCGTTGGTGGCATATGCCTTTATTCCCAGCACTAGGGAGGCAGAGGCAGGTACATTTCTGTGAGTTCGATGCCAGCCTGAACTACAGATCGAGTTCCAGGGCAGGCTCCAAAAGCTACACAGAGAAACCCTGTCTTGAAAAATCAAACAAAGAAGGGTTCTCTTTTTACCTGCTTGCTCTTGTGGGCAAGTTCATTACTTCACTGATATTAGAGCCTGTTTCTTTGGAACTCTGGCATATACTGAAGACAAGCTGAGACATCCAGCCTCATGGATTGACAGACTACTGGATTCTTGGACCTTCTGTTGGTAGACAGCCATTGTGACTAGATGGACTATAGCCAATTTAATAAGTCTCCTACATGTTTCTTTTTCCTATAGGTTTTGTTCCTCTAGAGAACTCTAAGATACCTCTCTATGCCCTTCCTGCTTGACTAATAAGAGAAGGCACTGCCACCAGAGGCAGAGACAAAGAGAAGTCAGTCTGTCTCTCATTCCACCCCCTCTCTCTCTGAAAAGCTTTCACTGGTACAGTATAAATTCTGAAGCTTTGCAGAAGTACAAACTGTTCCAGACTGGAATGACATAAATCCATTTCTAGAAAGGCCAGGAAGGAAACTAGATCAACTAAGCGAACACCTTCCTATCATCATCAGAGGCTCTGAAATGCTTCATTATCAAGAGCACAAAAGGATGTTAGATGTGTGCTGGCTCATCAGGCTCTGATGGCTAACCCATGTCATCCATATTGATGTGCTATGGAAAAGCCATGCATTTGCTGTGTACAGTTACTGGAAAATACTGGTCCCCTTCCTGCTCAACATATATCTGCACACACATCAGGATACTGCCTCAATTACATAGGATTTAAGTAATGACTGTGGCTGTGGTACTAGAAAGACTTAAGGGGGTTACCTGTGTGGGAACTCTAGCAATTCAGAGATGAGGGAATGAGGTAGAAGAACCTAGTTGTAAAATTCTTTGGGTAAGAAGGGTGGAAACTCTTGCAGTCAAATACAAGGAATTGCAAGGCTGTGTTTTCTCTCTCAAATCAAAACAGCACCCCTACCCCAAAGCCCAATGACCTGAGTTACTCTCTACTAGCTTGGGAATAGGGGTTCTATCCCCAGAACTCACATGGAAGGAGAGAACTGACCCTTCTGAGTTGTCCTCTGACCTCTGCCCACGTGCATGACACTCATGTGCCCACATATATACTAAAGAAATAATTGAAAAGTTTAAAATCCAGGCACCCAGGTCTACATTAGTTAGCAACCTGGGACTATCCAAAGCAGTGTTTGGGTAAATGCTGGACCTATCTCACCAGCAACAGCAAGTGATGATGCAGGAGGGGAGGAGAACCGGGCCATGCAGAAACAAGGCTGGGGCCAGGCTGAGTGGCTAGTGCAACAGTGAGCGGGCTAAAAATCCCTGAAGCTGTCCATTTCAAAATCTGTTGGATACACAAGGCAGTCCACTCCACATTCAGACATGGCACCAGCAACTTCCATTTAATTGTAAGTTAGGGCCTCTTTAAATATGGTTTGAGGGGCTGGAGAGATGGCTCTGTGGTTAAGAGCACTGGCTGCTCTTCCAGAGGACACAGGTTCAATTCCCAGCATCCACGTGGCAGCTCAAAACTGTTATTTTAGTTCTGGGGACTCTATGTCCTCACATAGACATACATAAAACAAAACACCAATGCACATAAAATAAAAAATAAATGACCCATTTAAAAAACAAATAAATATGGCTTAAAACTCAGATTTTGAACAAATTATAATCAAAAGTTGCCAAGCTGGTGGTGGCACACACCTTTAATCCCAGCACTTGGGAGGCAGAGGCAGGTGAAGCTCGGTGAGTTGGATGCCAGCCTGCTCTACAAAGGGAGTTCCAGAACAGCCAGGATGTTACACAGAGAAACCTTGTCTCAAACCTCCCCTCTCTCCCACAAAAAGAGTTGCCATGCTTTGCATATATCTATACCTATATATATGCTGAAGGGTTTTTTGTTTGCTTGTTTATTTTGGAATCTTTTCATGTGGCTCAGCCTGGACTTAAAGTGACTATCTAGTGGAAGATGGATGACCTTCTATTGATCTTGCCTCTTCCAGTCAAATGGTGGGATTATAGGTATCTGCCTCTAACTCTGCCCTTGCAACAGAGTATGTCATGAAGCACACACAACTTGGAGTAAAGATAAACTGTAAATCTTATGAGGTCTCTGGAGATGTTTCTTTTGAACATCCAGAGGCCTTTTGAAATTTCTAGAGTCACGAAATCAGGGTGTCCTGTCTCACCTTGAATCTCATGTAGTATTTATGCAGTATCTTTTCCTCAGCAGCTGAGAACATTTTTCCAAGGAGCAGGGAGAAAAGACTGAGACAGGAGCAAGCCTTTACTGAGTCCCTTGTTTATTCTTTTGGTTTTTTGAGACAGGATTTCTCTGTGGCTTTGGAGGCTGTCCTGGAACTAGCTCTTGTAGACCAAGATGGTCTCGAACTCACAGAGATCCGCCTGCCTCTGCCTCCGGAGTGCTGAGATTAAAGGCATGTACCATCACTGCCAAGCTCTATTTTTTTTAAATTTATTTATTATTAATATCATTTTGTGACAGAATCTCACTATGTAGGCCTTCTGGTCATGAACTTGCATAGTAAAGGCTGCTTCTGTGGCAAGGCTACCTGGGATCATAGGCATGCAAGCCTAAGACTGGCTCATTTGCAGAATTTTTTAAAAAATACTTTTGGCTTACTCTCAGTGAAATGTTGAATCTTCCTCATAGTTGGCTTTTTTTTTATATTTGATCTATTCCACTTCTGAACATGGTTTACTTTGAATTCTAAAGTACAGAGTGATTCCCAGGGGCACGCGAGGAATCAGCAGGAACTCCACCACAAATCTGACCCATGTGCTCTTCAGATGAGCTTTAGACATGTTTTCAGGACTTCTGTCTCCTGTGTTTTATTCAACAGTGACCTGATATTCTCCCATGAACAGAACAATCTCGTGCTACTAATTTAACTTTGCCCTTTTGGGAAACAGAAATTACTCACTTTTTAAAGAAACTAGCCTTCAGTAGACACTTTGACACTCCATTTTATGAAGGTTCTTTTTATAAAAAAATTTGCTTTATTACATTTGTATTTATGTTGTATGCATGTATGTGGACAGGTACATGACATGGCTCACCACAGTACACATGCAGAGGTCATAGGTCTACTTGTAGGTGTCAGTTCTCTTTGCATCACATGGTTGCTGAAGACTGAACTCTGGTCATCCGGTTTGGCAGCAAGGGCAGTTGAACCATTTTCTGCAGTTTCTTACATAATCAGGATTTTCATTTTTATTTTTCTTTCCCCTAATGCATAACAATGTGAGTTGATGTGTGCATAAATACAATATCATGAGATGAGCTGTTAGGTTAGGCTTGGGCAACTTTTGTAAAGTACCAGACAGTATATAGTTTTGGTGTTGTGGGTAACTACTCAACTCTGAAGTTGTAATGAGAAAGCGGCCACAGTCAATGCATAAGAACCAGCATGGTGTATTCTAAGAAAATTTTATGGACTCGGAAATCTAAGTTTCCCCTAACTTTTGCGTGCCACATGCCACAAAATACTGTGCTTTTTGCTTTTGCCTCAGCTATTAAAAACACCAAAAACATTCTTAGAAGGTAGCAAGTGGGTTGGAGTTTGTTAACCAAATGCTGCAAAAAGGAGCGTCCTGTCCCGTGGGAATCCAGACCCGATTCCCCTACCTGCAAATATGTGATCACCTAGAGCTAGCGCCTTTACAGTAAAGACCGGTCTCAGGCGCGCGAGTCCCCTCGCGGTTTCCCTAGACGCAATCAGGTTCCAGGTCCAGCGCAGGAGGCTCTGGAAGGTGCCAAGGCCTCGGCGAGGCTACGTAGCTGGCAGTGAGTACTCACCGAAGCGGGTTCGAGTCCTCCCCGGCAGGGCCGCGGAACAGGTCGCACGAGGGTCCCAAGGGAACCACTGCCTCGGACTGTGCAGCTCTCTACCTGCTTTTCGGTCCCCACCAAGCAAGGCCTGGGGGAGTGGCCGTCATGGGGCTCCTCCCCCACCGAGGAGAGCCGGGTCCCAGCGCTCGGAGCAGGCTGGACCTCCGAGGCTCCGCCTGGCTCCCCGCCGCAGCCAATCAACGGCCGGCGAGGCGCGGCCACTTCCTGGTAGGAAGGCAGGGCGGTCTGCGGAGCTCGCTGGTCCGAGTGTCCCGCATCGGCTGCGCGCGGGTCCCGAGTGGCCGCAGCCAGCGCAGGCTTGGCGCCCAGTTCCCGTCTGCGTGTGGGGCTCTCGCGGCTGAGCCTAGCCGCTCCGCCTAGCGCCATGTCCAAGCCACCTCCCAAACCGGTCAAACCAGGTAAGAGCTCTGCGTGCCGCTCGTGCGGGTCTCCAGGCTGCGGGTCTCTAGGCTGCGGGGCGCCGAGCTGGAGTTCCCGAGGAGCGCCCTCGGGCTCCCCCCCCGCCCTGCTCGCCAGGACGTTCCAGCGGAGTGGTGGTGGCAGCACCTAGGTCGCGGCCACTTCCTCATAGCTCGGCGTGTCGCTGTCAAGTTGGAGTTCTTGACCGGCGGGCGAACGGGAAGTGCGCTGCGGCTGGGTGGGGTTTGCGCTCGCTGCCTGCGGGGCCCGGAGGAGAGCGAGCCGGGGATCCGGGCTCTCCGGGTAGGTTTGGAGAACTGCATCCGCGCTGCCAGCGGGACAGTTTGGATCCCGACCCTCTAGACTCTTCGCTTTAGGCAGTGTCGTTCTGTCGTACGTCCCAGTGCCTTGCTTAGGGTGACTCTGGAGGACTTCAACTGGAGAGAGCACGAAGTTCCTCAAAGCAGTTTTCTTGACCACTCTTCCTGGTTCACTTTTTAAAAGTTGTTCTTAGAGTGTTTTCTGTGGTGTGGAGAAACGAGATCGTTTAAAGGGACTGCTATATTTCAGTTCGGCTTAATAAACTCGTAGGAGCTTCCTCTGGATAGGTAATTGCCAGGCAAGAATAGTAGAAAGTGGGAGATTAATACTGATGAATTCCCAGCCCCTTTCTTCCAATCTGCAAACTTGGTATTGCAAAGGCTGAAACTTGAGCCATTTACATCATCCTTTATGGCAGCTTACGATGCTTCAGTATTCTTTTACCCCCAGGAGTTTTTTTTTTTTTCTAAGTGTCAGTCACTCCAAATTTAATAATTATTCAGTTTTATTCTTTTGTGGTTGCATCAAGCCCCCGAATTTGAAAAATAATGCACACACATTTGTGAAACAGACATTTTCTGACGACTTCGATTTTTCGAGGCCGAGGGTGAAGGAAGTGGCTCAGACTGGCTTTGGCCTGAGCAGAGTCAGGGCGGTGCTGGTTTGCTGCTTTCGATGTGAAATCTGAGAAGTTTGCAATTTGCAATTTAGATGCGGATGTATGAGGTGGCAGTTTTGTAAACTCAGATGTAAGTCAGGACCTCAAGTGTACAGCTATGCTGAGTTCTTTGATAGCTAAACAAAGTGCTCGATTTTGAAGAATGTCCCGAGAATCAGGTCGTGAGGTTTTTCATACCGGCAGACACATTAAAAGTGAAGTCCATATTGCATCTGTGAGTGCTGGCAGGAACCTGCCTTCCTGTATGTGATTGTGAACTCCTGTGGTCTCGCACCCTTGGGTGTGGCTTAGGACTCATCCTATTACTAAGTGGAGATATGCACTGTGAACTAGTTTTGTTGTCTACATCTCTGCTTTTTCCTCTAGTAAGCCAGAAAACACACAGCTAAACATTTTTACTATTTAGAGAGAACTCACAGGGATTTACAAGTGAGGCCCAGACATAAATAAGTAAAGTTGCCATGAAAATCAGTTTGTTGGCTTAGTATATGCCAGAATTCCAAACTGTGTGCTTGCAGACAGAAACCTTTATTATCATATTGGCCCATATGTACAGTGTGGTAGGTCATGGTCTAGTCACTCTTACATGTTTGAATTCATTCACTTCTTCCGGCAACTGTATCAGGTCAGTACCATTTTTATACCCATTGTCCAGTGGGGAGTCAAAGAGAAGTCACATAAAGTTAACTCATCTCTTGTCAGCAGTGGGGTGGTGATGAATGGAGCATGGAGGAGTGGAGCTCAGGTAGTCTGACTCCAAGCTTTGTGCTTTTCCCCCATGTGAGGGGCCCTGAATATTTTACAGCTGGCTAGGAATCTAAGGTTACAGCCAGACTGCCTTATACAGAGGAGTGTTGAACACCCCTCGTTAGTGACAGCAGGTGTCCTGTACTTCCCTTGTACTCCAGGCAAGTCACAGGGGGGAAGGTCTCCAAAGAAACCTGGCATTTATGAGAACATACTTAAGGTTTAATTTTTCATTTATTGCTTTGTTTACCCCCCTCCCTCATCCCAAAATATTTTTAAAAATTCATATTGTCAGAGAGTTGGGGGAGAGGAGAAAGAAAAAGGTTTGGGTTAGAGAGAGAAGAGTAAGAAGAAATGAGAAGAAAAGTAAGCTGATAGGCACAGATGTCATAAAGCTCCTGTAAAATTACTGAACCCAGTTGTCACTTGTTTCTCAGCTTCAGGCACCCGGATGAGAGACCAATGGTAAGGTCCCCAGTGCTCAGGAAATTAACATGTGTTGCTTGTTCTGGGAAGCAGTTACTTTAATGGCACTGAGATCTGAGACAAAATTTCCCACAGATTCTCTTCATCTGTTGGACTGGATATCTGTACAAGAAATAGCAGAGGAATAAGACAGCATGACTCCCAATTTAATGGGCAACATTGCAAATACAGGAGCTAGATGAGGGAGCAGAGGGACAGAGGAGGACTCACTGTAAGAGTCTAGTTGTGTCTTACTTATTTTTCCTGCTGCAGTTTAAGAGACTAAGGGTTTCTTTTGGCTCACAGTTTGGGAGGGATAGTCTACCACAGCTGGGAAGTCCTGGAGGCAGGAGTGTGAGGCAGCTGGCCACATTGCATCTGCAGTCAAGAAGCAGGGGGGGATGTATGCTCCTGCACAGATAGCAGCTTAGTTTTTATCCAGATAGAGTACCCAAACCCCGGGAATGGTGCTGCCCTTGCCAAGGATGAGTCTTCACAACTCAGTTAACCTAATCAGGGTAAATCCTCCCAGGCATTCTTAAACGATGACCTAATCTAGATAATCCCCATAGGTAAATCTGGAAACTTGTCTCCTACATGATTCCTTCGCCTAATTTAAGTCAGTATAAACAAACCATCACAAATAGCAAGCAAGGGACATTAAACAACCGGGAGTAGGGCGGTTAATGCATCTTTCAGGCCAAACAGCCTGAACCCAGCAAGTGGCAGTTAGTGGAAGGAGGCTGCCCAGGCAAGTTCTGGTGAGATCCAGCCACATATGAACTGCCAGAGGACTGAGCAGAATCTCACTACTCCCCCACCCCCCATTTTTTTTTTTTTCTGGCCCATGTCAAGAGTGTCCTTTAGACATTTCCTTTTTCTTTGTTCTTTTCTGTTTTCTGTCTATATTTGCTTCTTTCTCTGTTTCTTTTTGAGACGGGGTCTCACTATGTACCCCTGGCTGGCCTGGACCTCACTGAGCTCAGTCTGCCTCTGCTTTACTACCTTGTCTGGTCTTTTGTTTAGACATTCTTTACTGTTGTTGGCCTTGCACCAGGCTCTGGGGGTTCCCAGTAGCAAGAAGATAAAGTCAACAGGTAGATGGCTGATCAGGTCCTTTTATTTGTTTAATTGTTTTAAGAAGAAAAATAAAAAGCAAAAACTGAGCATGTAGTGGTGCATGTCTGGAACCCGTACTCAAGAGGAAGAGCCTAGCTATGTAGCTCCTACTCAAAAACAAACCATAAGTAATAAAATATATTTCTATTTTAGAATATTTGACACATACAGGTGATAAATATAGTAAAATTTCAGAAACATCCTTTATCACCTAAAGATAATACATGGTTTATATGAATAAACTTTCAGGTTTTATTTATTTTTCCCCTGTAAGTCAGTTTTTATTACAAAAGGGAAATAGTGGGCTGGAGAGATGGCTCAGCCGTTAAGATTACTGACTGCTCTTCCAAAGGACCCAGGTTCAATTCCCAGCACCCACATGGCAGCTCACAACTGTCTGTAACTCCAATTCCAGGGAATATGGCATCCTCAAACAAACATACATGCAGGCAAAACCCCAATGCACATAATACATAAATAAATAAATATTTTTAAAAAAGGAAAATAGAAGCCATTATCTTTAGAATGGTGTCCGAGTGTCAGTTTGAGATGTCTTGTTGTGGGGCTGGGATATGTTTCTATTCTATATTATCTGTATTATGCTTGAAACACCATTTCAATCACAGTTTATCCATGCCTTGTGTAGTATTTTGTCTGCTGTGGTGTTGCTTTTGGCCCCTGAAGGTTTGTCATTGAAACCTTCCCCCTACTCATTAGACATGGCCTCCTGACTCAGTCTTCAGTACCTTTGGAGTCCTGAGGCCTCTCAGTTAGTGCAGAGAGCTTTTATGTGGTTTCCAGCCACTCCAGGAGCCTTGCAAGGAGAGTGGCTATACCTAGCTTGAAGTTGTACAGGACAGAATTTAGTTCTCCCAGAGACTGAGAAATTGACTGATCCATGGGATAAGGAATGCACTGACCCTTGAGACCATCTCATTTTGGACAGATTTGGTGGCAGTCTACGGTATTTGGAGACCCAGTGTCTGACCTTGGCCATCTTCTCCAAATGGCTTATTGATTTTGGTGGTGAGAGGAAAGAAAGCAGCATAAATGTTTCATGTGTCCTGTGAAAATAAATCTGTGGAACTTAAAAGAAACTAGCCAGTGTTCTGTCTTCTTTGTTACTCATGATAAAAGCATGAAAGGTGTTGTATATATGCCCTTTAAATACAACTTGAGAGGAAAAGAGTCTCCATCTAAATGGTCTCAACTATTGTGTAACCCATCCCTGCGTAAATAATGGAATCAATTGTGTGTGTGTGTGTGTGTGTGTGTGTGTGTGTGTGTGTGTTGGGTTAAAGAGAAAGCCGTCTGCCTACTTTCTGGAAAATGGTTGTTTCACACGGAAAGTGAGATTGGAAGTGTTGAGTTCTAATCCTCGTTGCAGATGCATCTGAG